TTTAAAAAGAATTTCAAGAATAAAAATATATATCAAGAAAACATAGAATTAAAAAAATATATAGAATTAAAAAAATATATATAATTAAAAGAATATTAGTTTTAAAAAATTTATAATTAAAAAAAATTACAAAAATATTACCAAAAAATATAAAAAAATAAATAATTACAAAAAAAAAAAATATGAAAATGAAAATGAAAATCCTAATAATAATTAAAAAATAACATTTGAAATTGTTTTTCCTCTATGAGAAAAAAATATATAATAAAAACTATTAAAATTCTTTTCTATAAATAAAAAAGTAATTGAAAAATTATATCAAAATATTTATGAAGGACATTTATTTCTTTTAATTTAAAGAAACCTTTTTTTCTCCAATATGATAAGAACATTAAATTTTTCTTTTCTGCAAAGAATCCTTTTGCTCTAAAAATAAATTTATCCAGTGGATAAACTTTAGAAAATACTCTTAACAACTTTTTCATTAAAACAAAAAAAAAAAAAAAAATTTTATATTATTTGTTTTTTTTTCTTCTTTTTAAACTGGCCTCAATTTTATCAAGTGCGGCCACTTGTGTAAAATTATTCCGCAAAGCAAAATAATAAGTCAGTAGAGTAGAGCAATTTAAGGGACTATAAATTGAATCGTATATATATACAGCATTCAGAGAACGATTTTGTTTACAAAAGGCGAGTAAGATTTACAGAGGAAAAGTCTTATATTCCCCGAATTCGCAAATATCGAAGCAAATGAAAAGGTCGAATAGAGACTCGTTTTTTTTTTTTCTTCATTTTATTTCCCTTAATGTTTCATGTTTTTCGTTTGGTTGCTTTCTATATAAAAAAGTTCCTGAATTAATGATAAGTCGATATTTTCCAGTGGCTAAGATATCCATAGTATAGCTTTTTATTTTGCTCTCGGGATTTTCGTTTCCTGGAAGGAAGCCAGTTTTGTGAGGATTTTTTTTTCAATTTTTTTTTTTTTTGTCAAAAGAAAGTGTAGATTGGTGGGTTTCTTAAGGGATAATCCAATTAAATATATTAAGTAAATAAATATATACACGAATGTTTCACTGTGTGTCATGAATCGTGAAATCCGTATATATATATTTAAAGTGAATAAGATCCGTGGGTAAGGAAAGAGGTGAAAACATAGGATAAACAAGTGAGTAGAGAAAGGTCAAAGGGTGAAACCTCGGAAATTTTCTGTGGTCGTTCAGCATTACCGCGTTCGCATGGATGTTGAGGATTTCTGGCTAGACGGATGTACACAGACAACTTGCTACTGAAATAAAAAAAGGAAAAAATATTAAGGGTGGGGGAATAAGCGAAAGCACTAGCGGAGCTTTCAGTTTGTTCAAATTTACACAGAGTCAGAGGGGATGCTGCTTGAGAGAGAGAGAGAGAGAGAAAAAAAAAGAAAAATGTATATATAGAGCAAGGGAACAAGATTGAAATATAGGCTGAAATAACATACGTAATCCTTTTGAAAATTATACAATGCATTTATAGCTTAACTCTCATGATTAATCAACAAATTTTTCTTTCTTTTTATTTACACTCGGACAATATTGTTTATTACAATTAATGTAACTTTTACTATTGAGTCTTTAGCTGCTAAAGAAGAGAAAAAACAATTTTTAATTAATAATTTTTTTGCACCCAGAAAAATGTTTTTTTTTTTTTTGAAACAAATATAATATATTTGAGTTAAATATAACTACACAGAAAATTAAAAGGCATTAAAATAAGCTGCAACGCTTATTATTTTAATCCAATTTTGCTCAATTTTAATACCAAAATCGATTAAAATAAGCAAAATTGGATTAAAATAATAAGCGTTGCAGCTTATTTTAATGCCTTTTAATTTTCTGTGTATTTCTCTCAGAGCCTAATAACTTTTTTATTTTGCCTAAATAAAAATTTTATTTAAATCATATCAAAATTTATTTTGCAACAAACAAATATTTATTTGCAACAAATAAATATTCATTTGAAACAAAAATTTATTTAACTCTGAGACAAATATATCTCTGGATGTGGATATAGAAATTACTTGTTTATTGAAAATAGGTTTTCTAAAATTTGTATTTAAAATTTTTTTTTTTTTATTAATTTATAAAAAAATTTCTTTTTTTAAATTCGTGAAATTTTATTGTTATAATTGTAATTAAATTTAAATTGACACTCTATAGAAACATGATAAAACTTTAATATAACAAAAAAAAAAAAGTTTGTTTACATTTAAAGTTACACTTGAATTTCATTTTAGATAATTGCTTTATGGTGATTTAATGGACACCTTTTACATTTGCAGAATTCACCGCCGCGACGAAGGTTCGTGACATTGAGAGCTTTTTGTAAAGCTCATATAAACTCTCTTTCACCTCGTTTTAATGAAATAAAACCACGACGTGTGTGTATGTGTGTGTCTGTTAGCGTTGAGACGCGGTCATACAAGGGGGATTAAATTAGATTATGTTAAAATAAATTACGATCTTGACTAATATTGACACATACTTCTTTGCCATGTTAATATTCAAATATTAGAAATGTTTTTTTAAAACTCTACTTCCTGTTTTTTTTTAAAAAAAACACTAATTTGATAATAATACAATATATAACAATTTATCAAAACATAAAGAAAAAAGTAAAAATAATTGAAAAATATTTTCAAACACAACGGATAAATAAAAATATTTTTTCTGTATGTCATTAAATTACAAAATTTCATTTTACAGATGTAATACTGTTTAAAAGTCATTACTGTCAAATAACAAAACATTTTATCTTCATTATAAAGTACTAAAGATAAAATAACAGGACATTGTCACGAATTTTTTTTTTATGCGTGCGATAAATCCATTGAGGTGAAATATCTCCAAAAAAAAGGGGGTGCAAAAAAAAAAAAACAATTGACTGCCACTAGAGAAAAAGGAGCGTAGGTAATAAAGCCATTAACGATCCAATAAAATCGTGTAACTTCGCATCTGAATTATGTTTTGATTGACGATGAAGGGAAAAAAAAGGAAAGAATAAAAAGGATTGGAAAAAAATAGGAAAATTGGTTAAAAAAAAGAAAAGTGAAAGAGAGATAGAGAGAGAGAGATAGAGGATAGGTCGGGGAATTAAAAGTTAAATTCACTGGCTCTTGCGATTTCGCGTTGCTAGTGCTGCGAAAAAGTGCTTGTTAGTCTTGTTATCCCATCCTTTTAACTCATTACTCTCTTTTCGACGTTCGCTTTTCAGCAGATTCGTTCGAATTTCAAGTGCTTGACTTTGTAAACGAATTTCGCGGTGAGACGCGAATTTGAAAAAAATTTTTTTTTTTTTTTTTTTGATGATGAGAAGCAGAAACTAAATTCAACCTCTAATCAATGTTTTATTAAAACAGAAAGAAAATAGAAGAAAAGAAAAATATTTCAAATCTATATATATATGAAAAATTTATCCTAACTCTGATATACAGATTTTGATGTTTTATTGAGAATGACGGAGAGAGAGAGAGAGAAAGAGATTGATGTGCGAGTGGTATAAAACAGTCGATCTGTCGCTTTGCTGTGGGAATTTATGCATTTACAATGCTGAAAGGTTATTGGATTTAGCAGTGTGTGATTCTCTCGCTCATAACACCGCGTAAACATAGTGGGATTTTTTTTTAAAAACTCCAATTGGAAATAAAATCCACATATGTAGGTTATGTGGTTAAAATTTTTTTTTGTAATGCAATAAAATTTATTTTTAAAAAAGTAGTTAATTTTGTTTTTGTAATTTTTATACATTAGTGGTGAGACATTCTTTTTGAATAAAATAAGTTTTAAAATCTTATGGTTTTATTGCACCTGCAGTAAAAGTAATTTTGGCATCACAGTAGTAAAATAATAGTTTTGGTCAGACAGAACTTTTAAAATTCTCGTCAGTTTAAAAGATAAGTAGTAAAAATAAGTTTTAATCAGTCAGAACTTTTAAAATTATCGTTAGCTTCAGAAATCAATAGTAAAAATATCTTTAGTCAGACAGAAATTTTGCTAATTCTCTTCAGTTTGAAAAATGAGTAGTAAAATACAGTTTTAATCAGTTCAAATTTTTAAAATGATAACTTCAAAAAACAGTAGGAAAGTACTGTTTTAGTCAGACATAATTTTTAAAATTATCGTTATTTTTAAAAATAAGTAGTAAAAATAAGTTTTAGTCAGACATAACTTTTAAAATTATTGTTAGTTTCAAAAATAAGTAGACAAATATATACCTTTAGTCAGACAAAATTTATAAAAATCTAGTTAGATTGAAATCAGTAGTAAAATACAATTTTAGTGAGACAAAAATTTTAAAATTATCGTTAGTTTGAAAAATCAGTAGTTAAAATACAGTTTTAGTCAGACGTAAATTTTAAATTTCGAGTGAGTTTAAAAAATAAGTAGTAAAATACAGTTTTAGTCAGACTAAAGTTTTAAAATTATCATTAGCTTAAAAAATCGATAGTAAAAATTAGTTTTAGTCAGACATTAATTTATGTAATAAATTCAGTTTATTTGCGATACAATACTTGTTTCTATTTAAAAAAAAAAAAACATTGTACACCAAAAGTGGGTCAATACATTCAAAGTAAGGAGACTGTAAAAGTTTGTTTCGAAAAAAAGCTTTTCGTTGAAATTTTTATTTAAGAGAAATGTCTTTACCTTGAAGCTTTTTCGTTCAAAAGCAACATCATATTTCAAAGCAATTAAATGTATATACCTTTTGAAATTTCAAAGAAATCAAGTAACAACCATGTTAGAATTTGTAATATAAAATTTTTACTCCTCGTAAATTTCTTCATTTTTATGAAATATATAAATTTAATTTATTTTCTTTTAATTTCTATTCTGTTTTATTACATATATATATTTTTTCTATATTTATGTTATTATTGTTTTCTCCTCCGAGGAAAAAAATACTATTTATTTAATTAAAAAAAAAAAAAAACAAACTTTCATTTATAATTTGAAATTTTGTTTCAGTTAAAGGCATTCTATGTCGATTTGTTGGTACCACTTGAAACTAATTTAGAGAAGGATACTAAAGTTGTTCAGGTGAGTTTTTATTTATATTTGTATAAAGTTAATTTGAATTTGTATCTATATAGTTTTTGTATGTGACTTGTCATGACAATTGAAATGTTTGTAACAGAGTGAGCAAAAAAAATTTCTCCAGCAACATAAGACAAGATCTGAGACTTATAGTAAAGCAGCAGCAACGATGAAAAAGCAAAGAAAAAAGTCAAGAGGTGCCAGTAAGAGTGGACTTGCCATGGACAAAGAGTTGAAGAACATGCAGATTCTTGAAGAGGAAAAGTCAAAGCTTGACGCCTTCTGTGAACAGAGTTTGAAGAACGTGAGTCGCTCGTTAAGTAGATCTTCTGATCTTACTTCAGACGAGAACTTTTTTTTTTATTCCTTCTATTTTCTAAATAGTTCAACTATTTTTTTTTTCTTTACTATTTTTCAATTTTCTATCATTTTTTTTTTACTATATTATCCTGATTGACAAATTATCTTTATTATTTTTACTGCCTCTGAAATTTTGTTATTCATTTTTTTTTATCATTTTCAAAAGTTTTTTTTTTTGCAACTTTTGTTGTATTAAATTTTATTTCTATTATATTGAGAAATGATAAAATGGAAATGGTAAATAATAGTGAAATTTTTCAGGCAATGACACAAGAGAGAAGAAGGTATGGGTTCGTGTTGGAGCGGCAATGTTCCTTGGCAAAGCACTACGCAAGTTTTCATGAAGTGGCTTTGGCTGCACTTCATCCCTCTGTCGATGAGTGGCGTGAAGTGGCAGCCACAAGAGAGTACCTGCCACAGTCTGTTGAGGATATGTTCGCCTCGAGATTAAGGGTGAGAATGGATCTTGAAATATTTATTTCATCTTTTCTTATATATACAATAACTCACAAGCTTACGATTTCTCCTTTTTTCCTATAGAGCAAAAAATTACAATTACTTTTTTCCATCACTCATCATTTTTAAGAATTATATTTCTTTCTTAAAAAATTAATTTATAACTATTTATAACTAATTATAACTTTCTATTAACATTTTTGTTATTTTTTATTCGATTGATGATAAATACTTTTTAATATTAAAATTGTGTAATAATTATTTCTTTTTCGCCATTTTTGAGAATTCGTTTCGTTTTGAATAATAATATTGTAACTGATAATATTTTTTTTTTTTTATTGAAACATTTCAGCAAGTTTCCTTTTGGCCGGACGATGAAGAAAATGGAGGTTCTGAATTGACAATGAATTCACAATTGCGAAAGACAAGGAGCATGGACAGTTCTTGTTTGGAGCTTCGATTGGGACCATCGCCTGGAAATTCAACTTTGGTTCATCAAAGTGGACCACCTCATCTTCCACCGGCTTTGTCTAGGGCGCGATCTGAAGCCAATCTTCATGCATCGTCTCTTTCACTTGGACCAGGTTTGTCCTATTTTTCCCCTCTCAGATGAAGCAGCTTTCAATTCAATTTTTTGTTTCTCTCTCTCAGGAAATGCAGCTAATCGATAATTTTCAATGCAATTTTTTTTCTCCCTCAGTTTTCAAATTATTTTCAATTTTATAATAAATATTTAAATAAATAAAATATTTAATAAATTTTACAATAAATATAATGATAAACAAATAATTTTACAGTATAGAATAAAAAATTCGTCAGTTTATTAAAATGAGGAATAAATTTTTTTTTTCGATGAAGAACGATGAGTGAATTTTTATTAATGAAAATTATTTAAAAGTGTCAATCAATAGAGCAATTAAAAAAAAAAAATCTCGCTTATTTAATATTTTTTTTTTTTTAACGAGAACGTTTAGTGGCTGATTTTAATGTAAAAAAAATATATATATCCCACAGGGCTTTTGAGTGGATACTCACTATTTTTTACGGTTTTTACACGAATGAATATTGTGAATATCCACGCATGTGATATCAAGTTTCGAGTTACCTTTTTCCCAATGGCAGGCATAGAGAGAGAGAGAGAGAGAGAGAAATGAATAACGAATATAGCGCGACCGATCGAATGTAGAAGTGCTTGCAAAACAGTTGAAGAGCAACGTATGGCGTGTATCGTTCTTCGTTGTTTGTTCTGCCACTACTATAGGAGAATTCCCAATTTTTCCACTTGATTCGCTTTAGCCGTTGGCAATTTAATCACCACCATACAGTACTTGGCGATTTACTGATTGGAATCTTGAAAAATCGAGTGTTAATTTGAAAGCTTCTTCATCATGAAAGAAAAAATAAATTTTTTTTTCCTATCAAATTTCTTGTAATATTTTATTTTTTAATAAAAAATTTTTTTTTTCAATATTGGAAAATCTATATTTTTAGAAACGTAATGCTGTATAATAAAGGATTAATGATTATTTTCATAAGGAGGTAGACGTAATATGATTCAGGTTGTCGTGGAAATGTTTGTTTTAAACTTGAAAAGGGCACAAAGTGAATTGAAGCATTTACAAGGTTTCTGTTTTCACAGAGGTTCCGGAAACACCTCCACGACCAAGATCCATGGCACCAGCATCCCGCAACAGTGCCGTGGTTATGAGCACTGGAGTTGTTGCCGGAGGATGGGGCGATGCTCCTTTAGCCAGGGCACTCTTCGCTTATCTCAGCTCTGGAGAAAATCAACTCAGCTTTTTAGAAGGAGATCTCATTGCTCTGATGGGTAACTATCTTAAATTTTCCCCCAACCATCATTTTGCCGACCATCTGCAATCCTATTAAATTATTTTCAACGGCTATCAAATAGTTTCTTAGCCTCAAGGCCTCCTTCATCAATTTATTTTACATTTTAATTATTATTGATATAATTGAAAATAGATTTTTAAAAATTCTCCATTTTTTTTTTTAATATTAAAAAGAAAATAAGTTATCAGAAAAGTTTTGTAAGAATTTTTGTTTTTATCTCCTCTAGGCGATAGACAAAAGGGTTGGCAGTTTGGTGAGAATCTTCGTACCCAGAGTTCAGGATGGTTCCCTCTGGCATACACTGAAGTGATCATTGACGAAAATTTAGGGTGAGTCGTAAATTTCACATTTCCTAAAGAAAAGATAACAAAGAAAAGAAATAAAAAAAAAAGAAAATAGTAAAATATCTAATTGCTCAAAAATAAAATTTGCAAAATATAAAATATATTTCGATTGATTGCACTTTTTCTATATGAGATTCTGTATTTATATATATATATATATATATTGTATACAGTAGATTGGAGTGGACACATAAACCGTTGCCATCTTGTTTTTTTTCTCTCTCTCTCTCTCTGAAATAAACGTCATTGCGTGAGGCAAATGCCTTTCCATTTAATCTATGAAAGTGATTGAAACAATCTCCTTCCAAAGTGAATCTCATGAATGTTTTACAGGACGCTGTTTTTTTTTCAAATGTATTTCCATTCTGTCAAATTTATGAGCCGTTAAAATTTATTGTCATTTAAAGTAAATCGAAACAAAGTGAAAAAAAAAGTATAAGATTTTCATTTATTTTCCATTTTCGATATTAAAATCAAACAATTTATCCAAATGTTTATTTAATTATCTTTCTTCAAATAATATGATTAATTTTAGAAATAAATTTTCTTGTCTACTTATATTTTTGATCTATTTGTATAAATAATGTTGAAATGGTAATTATTGATCATTAACAAATTAATGATAAATAAAAATTAAATAATTTAATTTGTCAATGAAAAAAAATAGATCACCGAATCACAGCTCGAATAATGGACGAACACCAGAACCGCGAACAGTACCACCGTGTAAACCACCACCCACACGACCACCAATGCCAAGTAATGATGATTTGTCTTTGGGCCATGGAATTAATAGTAATGGCAATGCCAATAATGGAACTCCTACCAATGTGCCAAAAAGTAATAGCGCTCATAATATTACAACTCCAACAGCACGTCAACAAAAAGCGGTAAGAATTTTTTTTTTTTTTTTTTCTTCCATTAAAATAGATTTTCTCATTCTGAATTGAAAGAAATTTTCAGTAATAACGAAAAGTGCGTTCTAAAATTGTTCCTCTTTTATTCACAGATCCGTCCATCCGGTACTTTGCCGACAGTTTTAGCTGGTGGCCGTAGAGTACAACCGCCAGTCCCTCCTGTTCCACCTCCTCAGGCTGTTACTTCACTTCACAGTAGTAATGATAGTGGATTTTCTAACGAGCCACCAGTTCAGCCAGATATTGATTACAGCGATGACGAGGCCATGAGGTGAGCATCGGAATTTATTATTTTCTTTTTTTTTTTTCTATAAAATCGCGAACGCTTCAATAGTAGTGTTCGGCGCATTTAAATTTCATTTGCCAACTTACAATTGAAAAAAAAAAAAAATTTCTCAGCCAAGTTATCCAATGTAGACACTGCTTTAAAACCTAATAGTCTAACTGAAATTATTATTATTATTATTGGCATGATGCTTTGTAAAAATTGCTCATTCCTTTCCCTGTTCATGTATTTTATGTTCTGAATCAAGAGATTAGTGATTGGGAAAGAGAGAAAGAAGGAAAGGGTCCTTTGAGTAATATTTATTTGAAAAAAATTTTTTAACTTTTAAAATCTTGTAAAAAATACAAAAATTTAACAAAGGAAATGTAATATTTTTATTTATCTAATAATATCAGTCCTTTGAAGCTGACGAGTTTCCATTTAATTTCTATTATATTTATACAAACATCAAAGGACCTCTCTTCTTGTTAAACAAGAATGGGTTTACTTTTTAGATTACGTTCTTTTTTTTCATTCTTTGTAGATTCCGCATGCGTTACTACGATCGATGGAATTAAAAACGCGACGGTGGTGGTCCTCTTCCACGAAAAATCCTTTTAAAAAGCAAAAAAAAAAAAAAAAAAAATGTTGATCCTTAAATTTTTCCGGTCATTATTATCCCTTTCCTTGACTTGGCACGTAGGGGATCCGTATCTACTGTGATGGCTCTTTGGTCTTTTGGCACTGCAGTCTTCCGTTTTGTTTCTTTTTTTCTTTTATTTTCTCTATACAACCCTGACAAACCTCCAAAACAGACTGCGACGCAGAAAGCCGCGCGAGGCCGACCGTTCCAAAAAGCAGCACCAAAAGCAGAATCAGCAACAACAGCAGCAGCAGCAACAACAACAACAACAACAACCAAAAGATGAAAAGGCGCCAAGTGGAAAAAATTGGGAGAACGATTCTTGGAAATCAATACCAAGGGATGAGAAGAGTTGGCATCTTTATAGAGCTGCAATGGACATATGGGCCAATTCAAATGTTCAAGATTGCGAGAAAGCTGAGTCTGGACGTTATTCATCAGGACGACGACACGAGACAACAACAGATGATAATCGTTCATTTGTAAATGGATCATCAACAAAAAAGGAGAAGAAGCAGGATAAATCAAAAAGTATTGAAAATCGTCCGAATCCGAATAATAGAAGTAAATTTTCCCGTGATGAAAAAATGAGAAGTTTCAATAGTCGAAATGGTGAGTCGACAAAAATTGAAAGTGAAGATGACATTGAGGTCGAGGAAGAAGAAGAGGAGGAAGAAGAGGAAGATGAGACCTATGGTAATGGTATCGAATATTCCGACAAATATGAGAATAAAAAATACTACAACGAACAAGATGAAACATCTCGTCGGGGTTATCGAACTACTGAACGAGATGAGACCAAGTATAATAAGAGCTCTTCAAATTCTTCTACTTCAAATTCAGATGACGAGAGTACAATAACAATTCCAGAAACAGGAAGAAAAGTTGAACATATCGCACAAAAATTGGAGCAAACGGCACAAAAATATGCAAGAGAGCACAGTCCACCAAAATTTAATGAAAGAAGATCACGTGAAGAGAAGCAAAATAATTATGAAAATTTTAATGAACGTGAAAGAAGACCAAGAAATTATTATGAAAAATCAGCAACATTGGGCTACGATAGAGAACGTAGTTTTGAAAAGAATTCCGAAAGAAATAGAAACGTTGAACGTTTATCGACGCGTCGTTTTGAAAGACCACGACCACCATCAGTCGAAGCTCCCGAGAGACCAACTGATCAACAACGAACTTTTCGCGAACGTCGCTATTCAGAGAAGGAGGAGATTTATGGTGAGACCACACGATACAATATTCGTGATCCACCAATGATTGATAAGGATCGTGGTTATGAATCAAACTTTGAAACAAAGTTAGAACGAAATAAAGTGATTGAACGCCATGGCTATCATCCAACTGAGAAAATGGAAAATGATACAAACAATAATACATTGAAGAATGATAATCGAAAACCACTTTTACCACGACAAAGTACAGCAATGGGTCATTTAATACAAACGGGTCGTGTTTTTGATGTAGACACAACAAAAAGTCCAAAATTAGTTAAAAGAACAAAATCATTTTGGCGATTTAGACGCGATTCAGAAGTACTCGAAGGAATGGCACTGTGGCAACATCGATCATTAGTTGATATTCCAAAAATGTTGAAAAAAGAAAGTAAGGATGAAAAAAATCAAACAAATGAATCGTCACGAAAATCGAGTTTTGAAGAGAGTACCGAGCATCGTACATTGGAGAAAAAAAATAGTGATTCAACAATTACTAATGAACGACTCGAACCAAAAGCAGCTGAACGTATGCATGTACCGGAGAAAACGGATTTTTTCGATGATTTTCCAACACCTGCGGAGAGACCAAAAATTATTGAAAGATCCGAATATCGTGAAAGACAACAACAACAGCAACAACAACAACAAGAGAGATCATATTTTGTTGGTAATGTGTCGCGTAAGGCGATTCTTGAAAATGAAAGAAAACGAAGTCTTGAAGCAAAGAGAAATTTAATTGTCGCTGAATTAAAGGAGAATAATGAAGCTAAAAGAAATGATCGAAGAAAGAAACCATATGGAGATGATGACGATGGTTTAATGCAAAATTTCACCGAAACAGAAGCTTCCGATGAGGAATCAACTTACAGTTGTATTATCGTCAAGGATCAAGTTGCTGAGAAAACACTTTTGCCAAGGACAAAATTAAGAAGAGACAGTGATCGAGAGAGAGGCCGTGCCAGAGAACGTGAGAAAAATACCTGTGGACCATGGTACGATTTATGGGGTGTCGATCCATCTGTCAACAACAAAAAGAAGAAGAAGAAGTAACAACCGAAATACCGAGACATTTTTTTTTTTTTTTTAACTTTTTGATTTTTTGACATTGACAATTGTGACCGTATTTTTTTTTTTTCATTTCGAATTGATAAAATGCAAATTATGTGCTCCAAGTAGTTTACAAAAGTTTGTCCTTTTTTGCCGAGAAGAAATTTAAGTTTTATAAATACGTTTACAATTTTTCTATTCAAATTGACTTTAGTTGTATTTTGAAATTTATGTAAAGTTCCTACAGCACAGAATGACAAATTTTCAGGTGCTATTTTTTTTTATTGTCCTCGTTTTTTTGTAACAAAATGTTGTCGCTATCAATGTTAGTTTCATGAAAAAAATGCCTTTTTTGTTTTCGTTTGCTTTCGTAGATGAATATTCTGTATTTTTAGGGTAATTTTTTTCGATTTCAATATAATATTTTCCTAGGATGAGTTTTTCCTTAAAAAATAAAAACATTTTTAGAAACATTTTTATCGAAGGCGTAAAAAAAAAATTTCGGTTTCTTTAAGAGTAAATTGGGAACTTATGTTTCTATGGGACAATGTGTAATGAAAATAAAGACACGTCCCAGGACACGGGATTCTTATTTACTTGTTTTGTTCTCACTTTTTTTTTCTTTTTTCGTTTTGTTTGGTTCCGCTCGACTCTCTTCCGGCGTCATAACGTTCGGCAACGTGTCGTTTCTTTTTTTTTTTTCTTTTGTCTTTCGTGTCTAGTTTTCCTTTTTATGAGAGTGACACACCTCGGGGCTTCACTCATTTACTAACATGGCCTTCTTTCAGGAGCAACGTCTTTTCCACAGTGAAGCTGCGGAAAACGAAGACCAATGACCGATCCGCACCAGCTTTATCTTGAAATAAGTCACTCATATAGAAAACTATCTTTTTAAAATAACAAATAACACCAATTTTTCTTGCCTATTTCCAATCTCTGTATATATGAGAGAAAACACTTCGGGTCTATGTATTTATCAATTATCAAATCGTTAGATCTCGTTTTTCAGTTAGATAAAAAAAAAAAAATTTATAAAATTTTTAAATCTAATAAAAATAACATAGACAACAATCCTTTTAACTAATGTAAGTTTTTACAGTAATTCGACACTTTTATAATAGATGAGATTTATAAAATCTCGAAATTTCTTTTTTGATAAAAGTTTTAAAAATCATTTTTATTTATCTATAATTTAGTAATAAAAATAATTTCATTTTTTTTTTTTTTTTTTGTAAAAGTGTTGAATTTCTTAATATAGTCTATAGTGTCTCTAAAGCGTCAAGTGGCGAGAGATAAATTTTGAGAAAGTGATTTGCAAAAAAAAAAAAAAATCTTTTTCCACTCTAAAAATTTCGACGATTATAAAGATATATAGAAAAAAAAATCTCTGCAATTAAATGAAAATTGAAACATTTTTCAAAATAAAATATTCCACTTTTGAAATCGTTTACATTTACAAACTCGTATCTACAACACTTTACATAAAAACGAGCGACTAATAATCAAATAAGAAAAATTTATAAAAAATATATAGAAATTATTGTAAAACAATTTTAAAAGAGAATCATAAAAGTTAAAAATGAAGCTGTCCTCAAAAAAAAAAAAAAAACATCATTTTCGTCCGCATTTTCTAAAACAAAGCTTTTTTAAAACATTTTTAGAAATATTTTTTTAAAAACATTGGACCAATCAATTAGTGGAAAGTTCTTTTTTTTTCATTCTTGACGATCCGTCCAAGAAGAATGCGAAAATTTTGAGGTCGCACACTGAAAAAAAATTCCAATACTCGATTACTTTACTATTATCAAATAAATATTTATTTGTATCAAATAATTATTATTTGAGATGGTTTTTTTTTCAAATACAGAAATTATTGGTTCAAATAAAAATTATTTAGTTTAAGTAAATATTTTATTTGATAATCGAGTATTTGAATCAAATAAATTTTTTATTCAGTGCAAAAACCGAATGTTAATTTAATTAACGTTTGATTTGAGGTGAAATATTTTAGTAAATTTGTCGAAATTTATGAAAAGGAAAAACTTAATTTAAATTTATTATTATTTATTAAAATAGTAAGAAAATAAAATGTTATCTTCAATTTTTTTAATTTTCTAGTATTTTGTTACAAAAGATATTCAGTAGTAAAAGTCAGTTTTAGTCAGACTTGGAAATTCTCGTAAATTCGATTAGTAGTTAAAGTAAGTTATAATCAGACTTGAAAATTCTAAATTTGTTAGTAGTAAAGTCAATTATAGCCGAGACTTGGAAATTTTTTGTAAATCAGTAGTTAAAGTCAACTATAGTCAGACATTGTTTTTTTTTTGTAAATGCCAATTTCAAAAAAATTTGTCAAAATTCTAATTTTCCTTACATCAGTAGTACAAGTCAATTTTACTGAAACTTACCAAATAATTTCTTTTGATATTAGTATAGTAAAATTTGTAAATATTTTTTTTTTTTGGTTATTTTTGAACAACTAGAATTTTCATAGAGAACAGAATGGAATTTTTTTTTATTGTAAATCTTTCTTTTTTCACAAAACTTTTATCAATTTCGACAGATTTAGTAATATTTTTGCCTCAAATCGAATTTGGCCTTTTTTTTCGCGCAATTTCAAAAAAATCGTCCAGTCTCAATTACACACAACCCCTCGCACACAATCCATCAGTTAGATTGTGTCACGTCTTGGCGCGTGTCGGGCAAAGTCGAGCTTTCGCGGACTCTTTGCCGCCGCGCCCATTTCCAGAAAGCCAACAAAATGAAAGTTTCATCTCGCAAGTTGTTAAAAGACTTTTACCGCTCTCGTATATATATATATATATATATTATAGTGGGTTGTCCCTCTTGCTCAAAAGGGGCTCGTAAAATTTCAACTCTTTTTTTTCCCCCTATGGAGTTTTTTTTCTATATATGTGTGTGTGTAACTTGCAGCAAACTACATCCCATATCTTCGTTTGAAGGAATATCCTCTCGTTTGCCCTTCATATATATGATCTTTAACTCGTCCTGCGAGGATGTACTGACGAAAAGCTACCTACTATCATTTTTGTTGCGATCATAAAAACAACCCCGCAAACTCGAGGGATGGAAAAAAAAAGTTTGCGTTCAACTGGATCATTTTCCCTGAACGTGTTTTTTCTCTTGAGTCCTTTTTTCTGTTACCCTTCGTATTTCTCTCCTGAGAGTGAATAAGAGAGAGAGAGAGAGAGAGAGAGAGGGGGGGATGACCTTCGATTCTGACTCTTTCAGAGACAGAAAATTTCACTTTGACAAAATTGAATCTATTCAACTCTGAATTTGTCGGTCGATTCAATTTTCTCTTCTCACTCTATAAAGTCATTTAAATTTCATTTTGAAAAAAAAATCAAAATATGTCACAAACGTGGAGAAACTTTCTGATATTCTCGTATACTGAAAAAAAAAAATTATTTTGATCCAAATAATTGATTACACTTGACTATATTATATCTGATAAATATATTTATGAATAATTTGTGTTAATGAAATTTTATTTGTTTCTAATACATAATAGATTTAAATAAAGTTTATTTGATTCAAATAAAAACTGTTTGATGCAAATAAAAATTATTTAATACAAATAAAAATTGTTTGATACAAATAAAAATTGTTTGCTACAAATAAAAAATTATTTGGTACAAAATAAATTTTTTTTTTTTAAATAAAAATAAAAATTATTTGATACAAATAAATATTTATTTGATATTAGTCAAGCCACAAAGTAGTTGAGTCAAATAAAAAGTTATAATAAATTCGGTCAATTAACCGAATAGTTGATTCAAATAAATTTTTTTTATATATATATATCAAATTTTGTAAATTTGGAATTTATTTTTAATTACTTGCTTAATTAGAATATTTTTAAGCGGGGAAATTGTCTTATAAATATATCTTTAAAAAAAAAGTATTTCAGAAGAAAATATTAATTAATTTTTAAAATCAAACGTTTTAAATTTTGTACAAAAAAAAAAAAAAATCAAATTTATTAAAAATATTTAATTAGTAAATTTTTCAAAAAATAGATAGAATGTTTTTACATAAAAAATGAAAATCAAAAAGCTCGATGACAAAATATAAGATGCTTTGAAAAAAAAAATTTTAACATTTAATAAAATCTGTGGATTTTTCTAATTTATAAATCCCCCTCTTTTAGAGAAAATAATTTCCATTTAAATCCACAGAAGAAAGATTTCAGAATTCGTTTTAAACATTTTTAAAATGAATTACTGATGAACTAAACAACAACAACAAAAAATAATAACTTTTCATGAAATTGAAAAGATGTGTGTGTGTGTGTTAAAAAAAATAATTTTTCGTGAAATTATTTTCCTGCGAATGATAGGATATATGCTTTGAAAATTTTCCATGAGAAATTTGTGTTATATATATATACAAATATATATGGGTGTGTGGATCAGTTTTGGTTTGAAGTAAAGGAGATGCTTCGCATTCGCATTCAAATCTCCCCTCGACATCGCTTTCACCGACAAGTTTGTTTATAAACCAGACACGAGAGAATAATAATCGGGATGCTGTTTAAATTCGAAAAACCCAAGGTTCGACGCTCGCTTGGCTTTTGTATGATGCACCCACAGTCGAGCCACGCAATTTGTCAATGAAACTGCCATATATCGATCATATATATTTTCAAAAAAAAAAAAAAAAAAAATCATAAAATATTTTTCCAATCACTATTTGCACTTGTAAAATTCTGACTAATGACGATTTGGGATTTTTTTTTTTTGACAGGATAAATAATTCTCGAATAGAAATTAATATTAAATCTCCAGTAGAAAAAAAATTGATCTGTAAAATATAAATCACGTACTATTTAAGAAAACATGTTTTTGCTCAACATATACAATGTAAATATTTTTTCTGCTTTAGAAAATAGTGAATAAAAAAAAATTTAAGTACGTGACTAGAAAAAAAAAGATCCTGTCTGGGGATTTATACAAATGAAATACTGTGGCAAGAAAAAAAAAATTGTTTGATACTTTGTATAGTCCTGTTATGAAAAGTTTTGTGAAAAAAGTAGCGTCACAACTATATAAGACTTTTTGTCGTACTCATAAAAAACTTCGTTTCCCCCTCTCATTTTTTTTCTATCTTACATACACACACACACAAATATTTTGTCTCTCTCTCTATATATTTTCCCATCGATTCATAATATTCAACAGAAAAACTTTTACTGTGAACACAAAAAATGAGATTTACGGTGAAATAAGCAAAATTTACTATATATATATATATATTGATAAAATCATTATGTTATTGTAAATTTCTTCTTTTCTTATGAAATCAAGATTTATGTTAAGTTTTAAAAATTTCGGATCTTATTTATTTATAAACAAAATATTTTTCATGGCTTGGATTGTATTATTGATTATTTTATATTATTATTTCTTTAATAACTATTTTACTCACTATTATTATTATTATTATTATTATTATTATTATTATTAGTATTATTATTATTATTATTATTATTATTGAAAAAATATATTTTCTACAATAAAGAACTATAATTAATTATTTTACTGTTATCATAAATATTTTTGACAGTAAAAATTAACATTTGCAGAGAAATAAAAATTTGTTATATTAATTTTCAATAAAAAAAATTTAAAAAAATTATTTAGATCTAACGATAAAGAGTAATTAATTGTTTTTTTTTCTATTTTTGTTATATTGTTGAAATCAATTATATTATTATATATAAGGTGGTGGAAAAATTATGCTCGCCATTTTTTTTTTATTATATAATAAATTTAAAGTTCGACATTTTGTAAAACTGCTTTAGGTAGGACCCTTATATATATATATATATATATATATATATATATATATATATATATATATATATATATATATATATATATATATATATATATATATATATATATATATATATATTTACTGATTACAAGGAAAATGTTAATATATACATATTATATTATATTACGTTAAATACAAAAAAAGGTGAGTCGAAAGTTTCACACCAGCGATTGGGATTCTTTTCTTTTTTTTGTTTTGTTAACAATTTCCAGTTTAACTGAGAGATTTTATGAAGTCAAGTTCGCGTGATACTTTCGACGACTTGGGTAGAATAAGCAGAAAACTAAGAAATTGTTGTCATAAGAATCATGTATACATGCATATAAGTTATATATTATTGTTACTTATTATATTAACATTTTTGTGCAAATTATTTGTCTTTCTTCTCCTTTACCTAATATCCCAAAAAATTGACATTTTTTTTTTTTAATTTCGTTCTCTAACTTGAAAGTAAATCACATAATATCAAAATTTGTTGTAACGTTAGATAAATGGAAAATTTTCATTTATCAATCAAAAAGTTGATTAATTTAAATTAATTAAAAAGTTATAATAAAAATCAATATAATTATAATAATAAAACATTAAAAATTTTCATTTTAATTTTCTTAAAATTATTTTCATTTCTTGTATAAGGTAAGTAATTAATTAATTATACTAATGTAATTATTATAATATACTAATTTATATATTTATATTTATATTTTTTGTATGTTTATTTCAATGTTAATGATTTCTCCACGAGGAAGCACAATGTTCATGTAATGAACATCTGAATTTACAACTTGTTTATATTATGTCTTTATGTTTTAATATTATTAAAATACTAAAGTGATATTTAATTTTTATTATAATTTTTCTGTTATTAAATTATAAAATTTATAAATTTTAATAATATTTAATAAAGAAATAAAAGAATTTAATTATAAGTCAGATAAATTAAATTCTAAATGCTATGTTTGATTCATAATAATAAATTCAAACTATTTTAATAAAGAATAGCTGATTTTATCAAAGGCTGAAGCGATGCAAGTTCGGATCAAATACAACGGTGAAACGGTTAGTATAATCGAGCTTTATAGAGTTCCTGAAATATATGAAATATCCGCATGAGAAATTGAAATTGAATACAATAAATAATACAAAATGCACTTTTTTATTTAAAAAAAAGTTCATTAATTTACTCGTTATTCTGTATAAAACAAAAAGTTTTTACTTTTCAAAATAATTAAATTAAAAAATTTAATAAAAATTAAAAAAATAAATTCTAATAATTTATTATTCAGATTTTTAATATAAAATGTAACATAAAAATATTTTGTTTTTAATTATACATAATATTTGTAATTTAATTTTAAATTTAAATTTAAAAATTCTTTTCGAACAATTTTGAATTATATGGAAAATTCTAAAAACCACATCTTTATTTTATTATTATTATTATTTTTATTACATTACAAAAGAGAAATAATTGATGTTTTATTTACTTTTTTTAACATACATTTTTTTATCCACATTTCCTCTTTTAATTTTCATGAATATTCGAGAATTATAGAAATAAGTTGAGGAACTGAAAGTCACTCTAACCGCTTTGAATATTATTAATATCGTATACATCTATCTCCCTGCATATGACACTAAAGTTCCTTTGACTTTGGCTCTTTTTCCTCAAGAGAGGGAGAGAGTGTGAGAGAGAGTGCATTTTAATTTAAATTATTTCCGCTCGAATGAGTATACTTGATTTTAAATATATTTTAGAGATTCATTATGCATATATCGTCGTAAAATAAAAAAAAAGAAACTGATCAAACATCTCCAGACAGCGATTTCATCTAAAAGTAATAACACTTTTTTATTTTATATATATATATTCTTATATTTAAAAATATATATCAGCATTGAAAATTATATTTTCAAATTTTTTTTTTTTATTCAATTTTTGTTATAAATATTTTTTAAAAAAATGTTAATTATCCAACTGTGGAGCTCGCATTATAGAAAAATGAAATCCATACTCTCAATTGACATTAATATAAAGGAAAAATAATTGATCAAATATTTAGAGAAATAATTAATATTCAGATGAATGATTGACAAAATTTGTCCAAACTGATACGCAAGTATTTTATCGAATGATTCTGATTTGAACTGGTATGTTATAGTCAAACTCTATTCTATCTCTCTGCCTGTATTTGCTTTACTTTGAACTGACGCATTCTGCACCGAGAGTGGGTTTTTGGCTTATGGAATGCACCAAAGCGAACCGTATTTGCGAAGCGGTTAATTATCATACTGCCATGGACTAGTCCCTTTTGGTACGCGCGCTGCTATCGCATTTACCCTCCACTTCGTATATAACACAGTAGGAAAACCGATTCCAGACAAATTGTTACTGCTTCCCCCATTTTTTTTTCCTTTTATTTTATTGTCAACCTTCTACTATCTACGTTTTACAAGGGGGAATATGCATCTGTAATTATGCATTAAATCAAAAGACATTTAACTGCAATGCGCACGTTGTTCTATCTATATTGAAATTATAATGTCTTTTACAAACATTATCTCTAAATTTCATTAATTTTTTCCTCGCTTGAAAAGATTATATTTTTTTTGTTTACGTCTTTTATAGCTCCTCCCCCTATTCACTTCGTAAACCACGCCTCCTTTGTAAAATGTTTGGAGAAGAACGTTTTTTTCTCGGTTGTCCACTTCAAAAAGGCGTGGTCTTAAGTCACGCCTCTGATAGTTCCTCCTACTTTCTTATAATAAACCACACCCTAATTGCTTCCATAATAAGCCACGCCTTCTATAGCTCCTCCCACTCCTCCCCTCCTAAACCACTTTCTTCTTCGATTCCTTTTAGCAACGCCCTTACGAGCACTTTTTATAAGTCACGCCTTTCATAGCTCCTCCCATTTTCCTCCTCTAAAACCACTTTCTTCTTTGAATCCTTTAAGCCATGCCCTCACGAGCTCCATTTATAAGCCACGCCTTTAATAGCTCCTCCTATTTTTATTCTCCTAAGCCACACCTTTAATAGCTCCTCCCACTTGTGTCCTCCTAAGTCACGACTCTATTAGCTCCTCCCATTTGTAAATCTCAAACGAAGAGAAACATCAAAAAAGTTTTTTTTAAAAAATGTTTCTCAAAACAAAATGAATCCAAATAAAAATATAAATAATTAATTTTGTCAATTAGTGTAGAATTGTTGACAAAATGTTTTTTTTTCCTGGATAAAACATTCATTTACTACCGAGATAAAAAATGCAAGAATCTGCAAATGTCTGTCTGACTAATATTGACTTCTACTACTGATAAACGCATTCAATTGCCGAGACTTTTGTCTAGTCAGTTACTTTTATTTTTAATTTAATAATTACAAAAATATGAAAATATTGTGCAAACAAATTTTTATACGCAAAACTGTTATCCAAATAGTAGTGTTTTTTCCAAATTCTGAATAAAATTGTCATTTACCAAGGACAACAATTGACAGAATAAAAAAATTTCCTGTCCGACTATAATGTATTTTTAGATTTTTACTACTAATTGTACTAGAATTAGTCAATAAAATCCTGTCTGACTATGACTAGTAGTAGAAAAAATTTGTTTTGTCAATTAAATAAACTTAAAAAAATATTGATAAAATGATATTTGGCGATTTAAAGAACTTTTTCCACCAAAAAAAAAACTTTCTAATTTTAGCAATTGTAAAATTAACAATTTCGTGAAATTCTAAAAAGGGGATCAAAGTTAAAAACTGAAACTCAATATCCTAATGGAAAGAACATATCAGTCTCTAAGGGTTTTCATACCGTCAGAAATGGTTCGACGAAAATTAATTTAACTAATGAAGTACACGAGAGCACTACTCTATATAAGCAGACGTCAAGTTTCGATTCCCTAACTTTTTCATATGGTAAAAAGGGGTGAAAAAAATTTATGAGTCAAGGATACTATAGAAAAAGGGGATGAAGGTAGAAGGAAAAGGGTTAAAGAGAATGATGGGGAAAGGACTCGCGTTCAATTATTAACCTCGATAATTCAACTTTATATCGGCAATCGGCACTCGCGAGACTCGCACCAATAATTAAACTTGTGATTTAGAAAAAAAATTTTTTTTTATTATTTTTAATGTCGTTAAAAATTAAAAAAAATTTTAATGAGAAATAAAAAGAAGAAAAATTTAGATATGATATTTCACCAAATTGTGATTTGAGAATTTTTCTAATTTAAAGTTTTTCTTTTTATTCATCTCATTTCGTGAATTCTCAATTTTTTCATTTTTCAGGCGTCAACTTTTGCCGGATTCCCATTTGCTCGAGAGGTGCAATAAAAAAAGGCCTTCTCTTGATTCTCGTGGTTGGTGTCACATTCTCGACTTAATGATGCTCGTATACCGCGTTATGTCGCACGAAAGGACTTTATAGCCTTTTTTTATGAGTTATGACGATGTATTAGTGGCATGGTTTGTCAGAGAACAATAGTTATATATGTAGTTGCCGCAGGAAAATGTGTGAAAAGATTAAG